CTTTAATCCCCCCCCCCGCCTTCTCCCAATAATTGTCAATAAATAAACAAATAAAATTTCCAATAAATGTTTTAAATGGTTATCTACCTGGAAATGTACAAGAATATCGTCCTTATCGTCCAGTTCGTATCCGGAGACGAGTATTCTACTCGGTCTACGGTCAAGAGTACTACTTCCAGGAGAAAGGGTAAACCCTCGGCCTCGGCCTTAAAATTAATTTTATTATTTCATTATTTTTCAGATTTAATTTCAAATTGCATTCAAAAATTACAGAAACAATTGAGGAAACTGTCGAAATTTAACACTTTACAAACTAGAGACATGACATTTTCGGACATATTATTTATCAGATTAAGGAGTCGCGTACCAATGTGAATCAGGCATGGGGCCTGATTATCATTTATGAATAAGAATCACTTATAATACAAGGACAGTTTCTTTAAGTTTATAGTTTGTTCGAAACTTTTCAAATTGAAAAAATTCCTTTATCCATTAATAGAATTTAATTTGGAAAATATTTAATAAATAAAGGACAAATATTTCATTATTTGAAGGAGGCGGATTTTCGTGTAAAATATCAAAATAAATTTATGAGTTAGAAAGAATTGTTATACAAGATCCAATTAGTAACAGTTTCTTTTTTTTTTGTGAGAGGAGAAAACTTTAATCAGAAATCGGACTGCTGTGTTCCACGAAGTTATTTAATATATTTCGAGTGTGAAAGATTTTTATTTTTATTTTCGAAGAAAAAACCTTTTTCATTATTTATCCTCCAAAAATTGATGTTTTTTAGAATATATAACTTTTCTCGTTGCAAGAAATATAAACAATATCCAATCTGTGAAGAGTGTGAAAAATAAAAATCCTGCTTCATATGAGGAATCAAACATATTGATACAAAAAAAAAAGATTAAAAATCTAATAAAAATGACCCCTTGGGGTTTACGTACCTCTAGCCCCCCTCCAGGCTCCTCTAGGTGTATACATGCCCCTGAACCCTCGAGCCCGAAATCCTCCACGGCCTCGAGCTGGTCTTGAGGTTGGAAGAAATCCGCATTTAGCAGCCTCAAGACGGAGTAAATTAACCTGAGAACAAAATAAATTTTTTTTAAAATTTCGGAAAAGAGCATTAAAAATTTCCAATACAAAGAACATCAATTGAATTTTTAAAAGTTTTGAAATTTTTTATCCAGGGGAATTTTGTGCTTATTTTCTTATATTTGACTTTGAGTGCCACTTTAAGATAAGATAAAGTAAAGGATCTGACCCCCCCCCCCTCTCACCCCACCCTATCTTGTAGACCCAAAACCCACATCGGGCCAAACGCCAATTAGCTCTGAAGTAAAAACTTTTAAACCATAACAAATTTTTTACCTTCTGTTGAATCTCTGCTGTGGAATCTGACCCATCCTGTTGACTAGTAAACAGTTCCATTTCTGCATCAAGCAGTTCTTTCTGGATCTGGATCAAAATTTAAATTTGATTGAAATGCAGTACACTCAGTACAATTTTAAAAATACAGTACATCATATTTTTTCGACCAACCACAAATGACGTCACAATTCACCCTTAATTCGTCCGACGAGACCTTTTTAGTCCGGCATTATTGTTATTCTTTTCAATTATATTGGAATTTTGAGCCACGACATGTTAAAATAAGGGTTAAAATATAATATCCCGTTTTTTTTTTAAAGAGGAACATCGTGTAAAGAATAAAGGAACAGAAGGTGGTTCTTGGATATTTGTCATCAAGCAAATCAAAACCAATTGCTTTGTTTCCTTAAAAAGAAAAATGTAATTTTTAGTTGCGATTCTAAAATCCCAGCGACAGAAGCAATGCCTGGACGAAAAAATGTGTGGTCGAAAAATGGTGAATTGTGCCTTCCCCTGGTCTACTTACAGTACATAACTACTTGCAGTACACAAATATAAAACATAATAATTTAAAACAATTTCCGCTCTTTCAATCATTTGAGCCATCTCATTCCAACAGGTACAAACTTATTTTACAAATTTCAGGTCATTTCTTTTTATTTCACTAGTCGTCAAAGATTGTTTTAAATTCATTCCGATATTCCGAATTGACCAAACCCTACCAAAAAATGTCATAACTCATTCAGTCTTAACTTAATCTATTCATGGCACCTTAATTGATCGTACTTGTTTCAATATCCCGATAAAATATAAAATTTCTAAAATAAAAAGAGTCATGGCTCATTGAACCGAATATTTTCTATTTGATGCTATTATTATTCTTTTCATGTAGAATATGGTTTTTACTTGATATTCTAATTTTACGTCAATTCAAGAATTCTAAAATCACCTCTTTCAAAGTTTTAGTCTTTACACTGGATATTGTGAGCGACGTCTTTATCTCTTCTTTTGTTCTAAAAAAAAAATTTATATTAGAAGCTAATCAAGCAATTCTTATACAGAGAATCCTTTTCATCTTTTGTTTCCGTTTTTATTTTTTACCCACCGACTCTTGCGGAGTTAATTTACCACCCACTTGTTTTTGGATCCGCATACAAAAACAGATGTCTTTTAGTTATAGGGTTTTAGAACATATTTGCCCTTTCTGTTGCTTTGAAATAAGATGTCAGTTGTATCCCAATAAACACGTCAGGATGGCTGAAACAGTTAGACCCAAACTCTTTTTGCCGAGTCTCTCAAGTGAACCCAGGGAAAATTTAAAAAATTGCATAAAACAATTAGTTTCTTTATGAATTTTGGAAATCCAATAATTGGAACAGGAAAAAAATTTAACTTTCTTATTGGTATAAATAAGAAATTATCTATTCGACTAAGAAAGGAGTGCATATGCAGACAGATCAGCAAAAAAGGTATTACTTTCACTAGAGTATTGTTTACCTGTCTATAGAGTTTGAGAGTTCCTTAATTAGATCCATGATCGTTTTCTTATCCTCAGCCTTCATACTGCCCTTACCCTTCTCCAGCTTAGAGATCAGAACCTTCTGCTGTTCTAGATATCCATCCAGTAATCCCTAGAATATAATCCAGTAATCCCTAGAATATAATCCAGTAAACCCTATAATATAATCCAGTAAACCCTATAATATAATCCAGTAATCCCTATAATATAGTCCAGTAATCCCTAGAATATAATCCCGTAGTCCCTAGAATAAAATCCATTAATCCCTAGAATACAATCCAGTAATCCCTAGAATACAATCCAGTAATCCCTAGAATACAGTCCAGTAATCCCTAGAATATAATCCAGTAATCCCTAGAATATAATCCCGTAATCCCTGAAATATAATCCAGTAGTCCCTAGAATACAATCCAGTAATCCCTAGAATACAATCCAGTAATTCCTAGAATACAATCCAGTAATCCCTAAAATACATTCCAGTAATCCCTAGAATACAATCCAGTAATCCCTAGAATACAATCCAGTAATCCCTAGAATACAATCCAGTAATCCCTAGAATACAATCCAGAATCCCTAGAATACAATCCAGTAATCCCTAGAATAAAATACAGTGATCCCTAGCTAGAATACAAAAAAGGAATCCCTATAATCTCTGTTCATTTAAATGCATACAAAGAGCTCTCACTTAATGTAATCACTGTAATCACATAAGTACTACTTAGTGTGATAATCTGTTCAATTTGAACTGGCTGAAGTCTTACGTGATGTGGAAATTATCATTTTTTACAAATTTTAAACTTTAAATTAAGAAATCAGGAAGTTTGACTAGTTCATATTTAATCAAAATAGTAGTACAGCAAACCGTACCTGTTTAGATTTGATTAGAGTTTCCTGTTGTTTCATAGCTTCCTTTCTTTTCTCTTCACTCTTCTTCATCAGATCTGCTTTAGTCTACAGAAAAACGAGGTTGAGAAAACTCGACCAAAGAAATTTTTTTAACTTAGTTTTCGGAAACTTCAACGACTTATTTTTTTCATCAAAACGAATGTTTTGACGCCTGCCGATATCTATTAGAAATTATCCATGTCTAAAAGAAATTATGACTTAATTTTTTTTTTCGCTTTTCCTCCTTCAATAATACATTTTACAGCTAAATTTGTACTTATTTATGTGAACTATTAATTTTAAAGGTTTTAAAATTGGTTTGATATATAAAATTGTGTTGAAATTATTACAACACAAAGGGGGTAGTCTCTGACTGTCTCACCGTGCAGGGTAGGATTTCCATACCCAACACCAGGACCCCTAAAGGGTTTAGTAGGAGTTTCAGTGGTTAACGTAATTAATATGCATCAGAAGTTACTTGACTTTCTTTCGTTGGTAAAATATGGCAGATTAAATGCATGTACAACACACGTATGAATGATACTAAACTTTTAGTTATTCATAAAGCATAGTCTAGCCCTGTTCGTCAAAAAAATAAATTTCTATGACTAAGTGACATTTTATTTCAATAAATTTTCCAGGAATTTGATCTTGCTTCCTTTCATAAAATCCCTGGCAGATATTAATTATTCTTATTCTTTAGACCCCCACCACTCTCCACCCCCCACCATCAATTGTCTGAGAGTTCTGCCCAACCCTCTCCAAAAATTTGTACGGAAAATTAGAGAAAGATGTATGAAAAAGATCTTTTATTTGTCCCAAATAAAAGAATACTTGCATAATGCATACATTCCATTGACCCTCCAGTTCGCGATGAAACAATGCCCGATTCACAACGGTAACCTTGTAAGCCTTATCTATTCAAGAATAAATTAGCTATCAAGGATTTAAAGTTTGAAAACCGATTATTCTAAACTGTGGTTTCACAACATAAAGCGACTTGCGCGTATACACTGCAGGAAAATTAAAAAAGAATAATCCGAAGTAAACACAAAGAAAAACGACAATATCTTCCACATTATTGATCAGATAAAGGTTCAAGGGTATCGTTGTGATGCTTGAAATTTCGCTTTCCGTCCCCGTAAACACCAAACCTGTAACATGTCCTGATTCTTCTGTATCGCGATGACTGCCTTCTCTCTCTCCTCCTTGACTCTGTTCCCCTCCTCCCCCTCCCTCATCTCCTCGTTCACCAAGGTCTTGGTAATACGGTCTCCAGTAACCAGCACCAGGGGACTAGATCCTAGGCAATCAATTAATAAATCAATCAATCAGCCTCACCCGTTAATTAAATGATCGATCAAATTGATTAATTAATCATATCAAAATATTATTATTATTAAAGGGACTAAAAGCGCAATTTCAAGACCACAGTGCCTGTCAGTACCCCCAGTACCCCTAGTACCCTCAGTACCAAACAATACCCCGCAGTGCACTCCAGTACCACTCAGTACCCGGTAGTACCCAGGACTACCATGCAGTACCCCACAGTACTCTTTTTTGATCCCCAGCACCACCCAGTACTCCAAGTACCACCTAGTACCCCCAGTACCCCATAGTTACCAACAGTACCCCACAGTATATAAAGCAATATTTATTAATACTTATTTTGATTCAAACTCTTAACTAAATGAATAAAGAAAAAATATGCCGGTTTAAGAAAGATTTAGATAGATATTTGCAATCATCCAGAACAAAAAGTTTTATCAAAATTAAACTTTTTTAGGTTTATGAGACGTTTTCAAAAATATGCAAAAAAATTATTTCTGACACCCCTAGGCTTAGTACGTTAATATAATTCACCAAAACCATACTGCAGTCCTTCAATTATCATACAGGGAAATTTTCATCTTTCTAAACATCCCAGGGAAAGATTTTACAGGTTCTTTTCTGAATTTTATAAACGAAGCAGAATTTTCAAATTTTTTGTCTTATTTGTTTCGCTTACTTCTATGTTAAAATTTAATGAACCATTCAGAAATCCGGAAATTTTTATAATCTCTCTTTTTACTACAGTTTTGCTTTGGGTTTTAAGAGTTTTTTTTTTTTTTTTTGCAGTTTTTGGTCGATATTTTGCCCCTTTGATCCGTCGATCCGCATATTTTTGCGGATCCGGATCCAGGACGCCAAAATCTTTCGGGTCCTAAGAACTGGTTTATAATTCTAAAAATCGGAAAATTTTCAACTGTAGTTTCTCTATATTTGTGAATTGCGCCTTTCTACTGCAATATAACAAATAGGGATCATCCAAAATAAATACTTTTCAAGCTTGTAAAAACGTCCTTATTCTCCATATTATTTATCAGATAAAGATTTCAAGGGTACCGTTTAAGTCAGATAAAGATTTCAAGGATACCGTTTAAGTCAGATAAAGATTTCAAGGATACCGTTTAAGTCAGATAAAGATTGCAAGGATACCGTTTAAGTCAGATAAAGATTTCAAGGATACCATTTTTGCATGGTGGGTCAGATAAAATTACGCGTACAGTCCCTTCAAGCTATTCTGAACATGCGTTCCTTTAAGAAATAAATCATGAACACTGGACAATGCGTTATATTCTTTTCACTTAATTTGAGGTGTAAATTATGTTAAAAGAAATTTATAAAATATCTTACCAGCAGTTCCAGTTCTGTCCTTGAAGGCAGATTTGTTCATGTGCCAGAAAACCTGAAATATGTAAAAGTACAAAACTGAATTTTCAAAACTCTAGAAATCTTAATCTTTTAAATTTGGAGTAATGAAAAATAGTGGAATTCAGTTATTTTGCCTTACTCAAATTTTTAAAATCTTGATTGCAATTGAAATATTTGTCTTAATTTTGTTCAACAATCAGGACAGAATTTCAACTCCTGCACAGAGGAGTAAACTTTTTTGAGCTTTTTATTCTTTTGGCAAACCTTGAAATGGTTCTCATAAAAGATCCCTCACTATTGATCTACAACTGAGCTGTTGTCCATTTTGAAGAAAAAAAAAATAAGTGAAATATTTCTTTTTCCTTATGTTTTAAACTAAACCTTAGAACTTTATGATATTGAAGTCACCTATATCATATTTTATTTTCATGTCTTTTATATATGTATTTAAAAAAAAGCAGGAAGAAATTAAATTTTCTTTTGTCAAAAAGTTTTTTTCGTCACACTAAGTTGAGACTAGATTGTAATGTATGTATGTATATGTTTAGCATTTTTTTAAATACAAAGAAAAAAATATATTAACTCCGCCTCTAAAAGCAACCCAAGAAAACTCACTTTGATAAATCTGTTGTTCATAACAGCCTCTGAACTGTTGAATGCTGCATTGGCCTCGGAATTGTTGGAGAAAGATATAAGGGCACTACCAGGGTCACCCTCGAAGTTAATCTACAAAATAATTAACTCTATATACAGAGTTACCCACAAAGAAAGGAGGAGACTTCAGAGACGACTGTACGGAATTTAGACTGTCTGTCTCCTTATATTTATAATTCTCTGCAACTGCCAACTTGTTTCTTTCTTTGCCAAAAATCAAATCATTTTATAAGCCATGAAAAGACAATACTCAAGACAGAACACTAAAGTTGACCTGAAGTATTATATTAAATTAGTTTAGGGTAGGTTTTATAGTTTCATCCTTTGTAAATAACCCTGTATAACTCAGATCGAACATAACATGTTTGTGTATTTAAATCTGAAATGATCAAGGAGTATGACATAGAAGGGAGATACAACCGACGCGGCCCGCCCTACCATATGATTATACATGCTTTGCAGACGGGTACTCCATTTGTACATATAGAATAGGTTATTGTATACGCGGTATTTGTACATCAGACAAATATTTCTTATACACATGGAGTACCGTCATCAAAGCATGTATAATCATATGGTAGGGCGGTCCGCGTCAGTTTTATCTCCCTTCTATTTCATTCTCCTTAGAAGTGATACTACACGAGAATTCCAATAAGTCTTCATTTTCTTTCAGCTTTGCCTGTTAGTTAAATTTTCCTATAAAAGTCCAACCATTCAACTTAGAACTTTACCCTAAACTAAGATTATTCCCGTGGTTCTTCCGAGTTCCCTGATCAAATTTAAGGCAAATTGGTGAAGGGCATACGAGTTATGATCAAACATACAAAAGAGAGAAGACTTTTTATAAGATAAGGAAAGTTATGTAAAAGTTCCAGAAGTTCAAGTTTAAACAGGATTCTATGTTCAAGAACTGGTTTCAGGTAAATAAAAAACAGCTGGTAAACAAGCTCGGCCTTCATACCATTACCAGGAAACTGAAAGTTGCCTACAATTTTTGTTATTGTTTTGTACTTACAGTTCCCTTACCAGCAGTCAAATTTTTAAACAAACTCTACTTCACTACCTTACGTCTGTTACATCTCATGAATTGTGGAACTGTACATTGTACAGTTGTGGACATATCTCTGTGTTGAATCAGGGGTGTACACTGGTTATTTTCTTGAAATATCACTTCCCCCCCCCCACCTTCTTGAAGATCATTTTTAACCCAAAAGTACAAAATATTATTTTTTTTTCGCGGGGGGGGGTATTTAAGGGTGAAACAAAAGTTATTTACCCTCATATTCTTTAAAAATCATTCCCACCGGGCTAGGGGGGGGGGGGGGTTAAGAAATTATTCTGATTATTTACCTGAATGTTTTGAAGCATGCCAAACCGAGCAAAATGTGCGTTCAGATGTGTGATGCTATTAAACTCAGGAGGAATATTCCTGACTGCCAACATATTACTTGCTCCACCTCCTCCTCGTCCACCCCCTCGGCCTCCTCGACCTCGACCCCGGCCTCCAACCCGGGAATAGTCAAACCTAGAACTGGAGAGAGGTTTAGTTCGAAGTGATCTTTCATTAAAAGAGGGACATCCCCAATCTACACCAGTACCCGTTAAACCTTTGAGGACATAGAACTCAATAATAAATTACTCTTGTAAGCTACTGCTAACGTACTATGAGAACTCAAGCTAGTAGAAATGACTGTGTATTCATTGGGTTTCAAGTAGGGATGATTTATAAAAAACAAATACCCCACGTGCACAGTGAACAATTTAATATGAAATAAATGACTAATATAAAAACCAATATTGGACTGTTGAGTGTACTTCACACTTCTAGCACTATATAAACTAACACTACTATAATTCATTGGTTTACAAGTAGGCCCATACATAATACACATACACATTTTTCTTGTTTTAAACCATTAATACCATACCATCCTTCGCATAAAAAGTTTTTCGTCAAAAATTTATTTTTACAGGCAAGTTCTTAAATTCACTCATTGTACATAACGCCAACGTAACAAGTTAAAAAAAATATTAAGAAAAAGAAGACGATAAATATATTAATGATTATAACATGTAACACAAAACAATAAGATCTAAAATAAATGAAAAATTGGAATATCAAAGACAAATTTCTTAATCATTTTTCATACTTTTTCACCAAAATTTCCCCTAAACATCATTCAGTTTCCCAAATTCAACGAATAATAATTTTGACGCTCCGCGCGAAAATCCTAACTTAGCTTCTGGGGGAAAAAATGATATTCAGAAAAATAACCCTGGGGTGTAATTAAATCTTTAAAAAAATTAACCTTTTACTTGCTGGCTCATGACCGCCATCATACGCCCTTTTCATACCAGGGACCGGATATCCGGGCGGAGGGACAGATATGGCCGGCGGAGGAAATGGAATACCGGGCACACCAATGCCGGGAATATAGGGTTCGGTTACAGGTTGACCGGGCTGATACCCAAGCGGAGCTTTCGAACTATCCTGAAATAATTAAGAATTAGTTGGAGTCCAGTGTTGACAAAAGACGAGATGGAAATTTAAGAAGAACTATTCATTAGCAGCCATTAAGTCTAAACAATTTATTAGATGTTAATAATATCAAAGATTCTCTACTAGGGCTGCCCAGATTTGAATATAACTAGTATTTTATATTGCATTGTATAACAATTAAAATTCGGTGTTAATGATTATCCAAACCTCACCGAGTAGTAAAAAAGCAGATAATCGATCAATAAATAAATCGATTAATCAATCAATCAATCAGTTTCAGGGGATGCCTTACCACCCATATATCAAACTCAGATGAAATTACTAAATCAAGAATAAGCTTTGGTCTTACAGCTTTTGTTTAGGTATTTAGTTAAGTTCTCAGGTATTATGTTAGTTCCTCATGTTTTTAAAACCATATTTCGGTCTGGTTTGACCATCATAATCAATATTTTAAATAATTCTTTGTCCGTAAGCCAGACAAAAAAAATCAAATAATCAAAATCAGATTGTCAGGGTGCCCTCCTTCCACTCCCCAAACTTGAAATTAATGATACTAAGTCATGTCTGGAGAAAGGTCTTATAGCCTGTAGACGGTTTGATTATACGTTAATTAATATATAAGTAAAGACTTATCTAGCTGGATTCTGTAGTCCAGTCTAAATCGTAATTACATTTTGCTAAATCTTCTTTGGCGAGTACTTTAATTAAAAACGTACAAAAAGTATAATATTTTATTTTCTACAGAATATTTTTCTAATTAAGAGTTTCTTTGTTCAATTTAAATGAAATAGGATCCGAATTTTGTTAGTATGAACTACTAAATAGTAAGAATGAATTTTAACTAGTCAGGTAATTGATTATTAAAAAAACTAAGTAAGATATATGATCGGAACGAGGGAGGGACGCCACCAGTCGCAATGAACCTTTCAAGTTTTCTAAACATTACAGAGCTTCTGCTCGAGTTTTCTGAACTTCGTAGAAAGTTCTTTGAGTCATTAACCCGCCTCCATCATTTATGTTTAGTCTGATATAATGATTCTAGATTATCTTTTACTTGTCTAAAACTTCCACGCGTATTTTCACAAAAAATCATAACCGCCCCCCCGCAACTTGTTTTTTTCCCAGTTTGGCGAATAGGAACTATAAAAAACATGCCCATTATATTAGGCGTAAAAACGATTTCCCAGGGGTGTATATTTTCATTTTAATGATTTTCATAAGGGGTTAAGGGGAAAATTAAGCGAAAAGGAAAACGAGAAAGAGAAGGGAAAAAGGGAAAGCGGGAGGGAAAATGGAAGAGATGGAGAGGAAAGAAAAAAAGGGAAGAGAAAAGGGGAAAAAGCGGAAGAGATAAAGAAAGGGGGGGGAGTCTCAGAACTAATTTACAACCCTGGATCACCCTGTATTTTAGGCTTGAATATATACCTCTAGTACAACAGCATCAGTTCCATGATCAAATTTACAAAGATCTCCTTTCAGACAGAAACCTTTCTCATCGTAGTCTCGACACCTAGGATTAGGATTATGTATAAATATTTTATCGTTTATAGCCTTATTCTTCAAGTTCATCCGGCATGAAATCAAGGTCGACGCTCTTATCTAGTCTATTCTATTAATTTATTTTTCCGTTGAAAATATGACAGATTCAGCTTAAAAATTACAAATCTATAAGAATTCTATTAATTCTCAACTAATTTATTATTCTATTAATTCTTAATGAAATTGATTTTACTTACCGCAAAGACTTTGCTAATTATAAAGACGAGGCATTGGAAATTTATCCGACTATTGTGTACGCCTGTACAGCTGTATTTTGACGTCATTGGTCATTTTGGTTGTTTGAGAGTCTAACAATCGACATTAAAACCTTAGATATTTAACTCAATTGTGAATGCTTTGTTCTGAAATTTAACTAAAATTAATGATATTAATTTGTATTTTTAAATTGGTTTAATCATTTGTTGGATATGAGAGTCGTCTGGTGAATTATAGCTGAATTTGTAATAAAGTTACGCATCTCTTTTGTATTAAAAATAGCCAATAATTGTTAGTGAAAATTTTCAGATTTTTTTCTGAGGTTCTATGGAATGGAATTTCTGGCGATGAAGAAGAGAGGGGACCAGAAATTTCCAATATTATAAACGGTAAATAAATATTGTGACATTATATTTTTCAATAATTCATTTAAATCATGTAGAGAGAGAATTCAATCTTGAATGAAAAAGTAATGAGATAATTGATTACTGTTAAAAAGTACAAGGTTACAATTGCATACAAGATATGTGACATTAATTTTCTTCTTATAAACACTTATATACTTCAAACCAAAAGTAAATGTTCCAAAGGACTGATAGATGTAATTTCAAGTTACCAACCCATTAAAGGTCCTATCAACAAGGTACCATTTAAACATTTATCTGGGTAACAATGAGGAAGATATCGTCGTTATTTCAACTTAAAAAGTGATGAATTCTGTAAATTATGTTAATTGTTTTTCCACTAGTCACTGTTATGGACTATGGACAAAATAAATATTTCAAGATAGATAAACTTAGGTGGTTTCCCATTGTTTTGTTTTTAAATAACTATTTAATACATTACAAAAGACGACAATATGAAACGTCAACAGGGTAAATATATACTTTTCTGGAGAAGACGACATTAGTTACTATCTTTTGGTACCCCAGAAAATGCGTCAAATTTGCGTCGATTTTCTGATGCGCTATCTTTAATTAGCAAAGTCTTTGACTTACCGTATTCTCTTAGAACTAGGATTGTACCCTCCTTCGTCCCTTGTAGGTGTAGAGTCACGTGATGTCCCACGTCTAGGAGGAGACCTAGGNGTCTAGGAGGGGACATAGGATACAGGGAGTACAAATATACTAGTCACGTGATATTCCTTGTCTAGGAGGGGACATAGGATACAGGGAGTACAAATATACTAGTCACGTGATATTCCTTGTCTAGGAGGGGACCTAGGAGGCTAGGATACAGGGAGTGCAAATATACTGGTCATGTGATATTCTTTGTCTAGGAGGAGACCTAGGATACAAATATACTGGTCACGTGATATTCCTTGTCTAGGAGGGGACCTAGGATACGGGGAGTACAAATATACTCACGCGATATTCCTTGTCTAGGAGGGGACCTAGGATACTGGGAGTGCAAATATACTGGTCATGTGATATTCCATGTCTAGGAGGGGACCTAGGATACAGGGAGTACAAATATATACTAGTCACGCGATATTCCTTGTCTAGGAGGGGACCTAGGGTACAAATATACGGTTCACGTGATATTCCTTGTCTAGGAGGGGACCTAGGATACAGGGAGTACAAATATATATACACATGATATATAATAAAAAAATGACACATATACATAAACGAAGATTCTATCAAAAAAAAAGCCGATAGCATATGATGGGTCCACCTACCGGTACCTGTCCAGTGATCGAGGACGGTGTCGGGGCGGAGATCTGCTCAGAGGACGTCCTCGCCGGACCAAAGGTGATCTAGGTTTATATAACTTATAAATTAAGTGGTTCATATTTTAGGAAGATTATCTGAAAATTTAAGCTTTAACCAGGAAGTGATCTAGGCTCGGTTATAAAAAATAACTATCATTTCAGCGAATATTAAATAGGACAGGCGACAAATCAGGGGTTTCCAATTTACAATTTTAAAATTTTCTAAAAAAGTAACTGCTGCTATCAAGAATTTCCCTTCGACATGAAACCTAGTTGTTTTCCTGAATTTTCCCATAAAAATCATTATTTTTTCCAGTACAGCGGCAATATATTATATCATTATCCAAACGCTATACATTTTGTTTTGTTATGAATCTATAACCCTACCTAGATCTACGGCGGACAACCCTAGTTCGATCATGTCTAGGTGAGAATGACCGCTCTCTATACCGGCGGGGAGGCGTTCTGTTCACCCGCCTTCTGGCGGGGGGAGGCGGGGATCCTCGGTATTTCCTTCTATCGTCCTCGTCCTTTTTCACCTCATCCTTAAGTCCTTCCCTAGAAATATACATTATATACATTATATATATATATATATATTTTTAAAGTTGTAATCTCTGTTTGTCTGTTCACCATGCTATTATGTCAAATCAAAACTCACAAACTCCTTGACCGTTATGCATTTGTTCTGAGTCTTAGTTGAGGACTGCAGGGACAACTTGGTTGAGTGGTCTGAAAAGTGGGGAATGGTTTTTAATACTGAGAAATGTAAGATAATGCATTTTGGAAGTGGCAACCCTGAATTTAATTATACCATGATTGGCTGTACTCTGAGCAGTGTTGAGGAGGAGAGAGATATTGAAGTGTTGATCAACAAAGATTTAAAACCCAGTAGACAATGTGAAGTAGCAGTTAATAGAGTTAAAATGGTCCTAGGTCAGTTAACTAGATCTTTTCACTTTAGAGACAGGAATGTATTTCTAAGATTATTTACCACCTATGTCAGACCTCATCTAGAATTTTCTACTCCAATCTGGGCTCCGACCTCACAACAAGATATTAGGTCTATAGAAAATGTCCAAATACAAGCTGTGAATATGATTAGTGGATTGAGAGCAGTTGGATATACTGAAAAACTCAAAGAACTAGGACTTCTCTCCCTTGAAACAAGGAGAACTAGATATGATCTAATACAAACCTACAAAACCTTAGAGGTTGAAGGAGATGAATTCTGGTTTAAAAGAGTTAATCAAGTATCTGTGAGAACCACCAGACAATCAGATGACAGAACCAGGCTGACTAAACAGAGAAGCAACACCACCATCAGAAGTAACTTCTTTACCCAAAGAGTCATTGATGATTGGAACCAGTTACCCAGCACAATTAGAGAGTCCCAAAATATCAAGATATTTAACAGAAATCTAGATCAATATCTATCTTCTTCTGAGATGAACTGATGAACTGAGAATATGACAGGATCTCCAGAAGAAGACTGTGTGGAAAAGATGTTGCTAAATGCCCCCAGCGGGGGCTACACCAACTACTCTCCAAGTATACAATTAAGTATACTTTAATAGTAAAATTTTGTTTGCCGGTAAAATCGACCGAGTACGGGTAAACGGCGGTGTAACTGTGAGTGAGTAACCTGGCAACGTTGGGTTCTCAAGCTAGTATACAAATATATAAAAAAGTTGTAATCGGTTATTAAGTCCGATATTTGAAAAGATCGACTTTTATAGGGAAAACTTAGTTCATATTTTCAACGCAAAACTGGGTTCCCAAGCTTATTAGTATTAAATTATGTAAAATAACCCCCCCGGCCATCGCCCCCACCAACAAAAAAAAATATTTTTTATTTATATATATCTGCAGTATTATTATTCTTTGTTATATAAGTTCAAAATTTCAATTTTTTTGAACTATTATTTAGAACAAACACTGAGTCGAAAAGATATAATTAAAACAAGTTCGTTCTGCTGTTAATGAAAACATCCCTGACCAACCTGATAGGTGTAGTAGAGTCAGCTTCATGTTGAACTTCATTCCTCTCCTCCTCACCCTTCAGCTCTCCTTTACCGTTCTCCTCCTCCTCAGCCTTCGGGGGTAACTCATACTCCTGCACAAATCATATCATACGGGATTTTTTTCAGGTTATTTTGAGGCTTTTTCCCTTAACACAGTTTTGTAAAATTAAACACTTTTTTGTTTAAGAAATTATTAATTAAAAAATTACGACAAAAAATTAATCATATTATAACGTATGGAGAGTCAAAACAGCTTTAAGACTTATTTCATTGGAAGGATTATACATTCCAAAGAATATAAAAGACTAATTTTAAGTAAAACACTAAAAAACAGTTACTAACGAACAAAAGTTGTTGCAAATCGGGCCAGCAACTTTTGAATGAAAGTTCACTTGAAAAAACACCCATAATCCCTTTAGGAATAAGGTAATTTCCTAGAGAACGATTTTTGAAACCCCAACCCCCCTCCTTTCAATTTTGTACATTTTGTATAATTGATCATGTGGCCGCAGCGCCCGGCCCCTAGCCTGTCCTAGCCGCAGCGTTCGGCCCCCTAGCCTATCATAGCCGCAGCGCTCGGTCCAGAAATTGTCTAACCTTAAATGTACAAAATTGATGAGGGGGGCCAAAAATCATATACTAGGACGGACCCTAGGAATAAATAGTTTTACCTTAGACTCTACAACTTGGAAGAGTATATCGATGAACCCGAGGGTTTCAGCCTGCAGGAACACGTCCATCTGCTGAACCATGGTATCTCGCAGTTCATCTACAGGCTTATCCTGAGAAATAAATTCAATCAGTGGTTATCTGACGTCAGATGCTAAATTCAAAGAATTTGAACCGCGTCGCTGAGTCGCAAATAACGGTGTAAATTAACCGTCGGCTCAAATTTTGAAAAACTTAAAAAATTTCCAACTGAACCAACCATATTTAAACCGCGTCTCATGTTTGAATACATCTAGACGCGGATCAAATTCTTTAAATTCGGCCTCAGATAAATCAAATATCATCAATGCATTTCATTCCAATGATGAATCAACATGGCCTGGCGCATATATTTTTATGAACTACACTGTCGGACGATGCGGAAATAACTTTTGAAACTCGGGAGAAAGAAGACACTTAATTTTATATTTATTAAGTCGTTTATTATCATTAGTAATAACCCTCACTAGATCTCAAGTTTTGGCGGTGTGGGGGGGCGGGAGGGTATTTATTACTCACCTTTCTAATAAGTGCTAGAACATACTTGGCTAACGCTACTGGATCCGCATCACACCTACAGGAGTACAGATTACAGAATTATTATTTAGAATTTTCCAACTTCATGACATACAGATGAGTCTTAGACAAGATTTAATGAATTAGTTTAACTATGTAGATATAGCTGAACCATTTCTCTACTACTCCGGTTTAAATTAAAGAAGTGGTCAAAAAAACTCTACGTGGTTCAAATACTTTTAACAACAATCCGTGGATGTTTTNAGGGGGGGGGGTCCAAAAATCGTATACTAGGAAATTACCAAAAAAAAGCGTTCTCTAGGATTAAACAACTTTTGGTACCTCGAAAGTGTCTTAAAATGAAACTTACAGTGGTTTGAGATGAGCTGTTAGCCAGGTTCTCAATAGTTCAGGGTTTTCAATCAACATTTTTCAAACCAAAACTTCAATTATCCATAAATGTAGAAAAAATCTGAAACATAAATGATTAAATAATAAAATAAACATTAAAACGAGAGGTATAAATTATTAGAAAGACCATCACATAAGTTTTATATCATAAATTCACAAAAATATGACATGCACAGCGCACACTGGAGTTTCAAGATTTCTACAGAAAGTTTGATTGTGAAATTGAAAAGGCCACACGCACAGTGTATTTAAAATGGTTTGGTTTGGTTTGAAAAACGCTTAATTATAAAGAACTTTTTTAACCCGATTATTCATATATATCACTTAAATATTGATTTTAAAAATCATTTAATGTAATAAAATTAAGTTTTGATAAATTTTTAACATCACATTAGCGACACTTGCCGGTTTTCTGTTTCGACGGAATTCTTAGTAAAGACGACATTTGTAGAAATTACTCGAAACTCAATTTACAATTTCTTCCTTGATTATTTTTTAGAAGGATAGCTGTAGTGGGTTAGCCCTGTACAATTCAGGTGATGCTTGTACTCGATAATATATCCGACATCGGCCTAGAAAAAAGATAATCAATAAAATCAGAAAATTTATAAATAATGAACATACGGGAGGGAAAATGAAAGCTCGGAAACAAAAAGAAAAAAATTGGTGGTCCACTTAAACTAACTTGCCGACCTACGACAGCTGTTTTTTTATCATTATTGGGGTAGGAAGACAATTTCAGGGCCGAGCGCTGCGGCCATAGGAAAGATATACCAACGAAAATATTAAATAAAATATATGTGTAAGAGGACTAAAAGTTAGAACCAACAAAATATTTCAGTGTAATACGATGTTCGAGAAAGTTACAAGGTTACCAACAAAGAATGATACTTTAACGGGACGACTAAACGGAATTTTCACTGACTTTTTACTTAATGTCTTGTTTCCTGGTTTCTTACAACTGTTTTTTTTTATTAATTACTTAGTTTATTTAAAGGCCAACTTCAACACGCCTCTTGGGTCGTTATTAATGGCTCATCCTTTATGAGTAACATAGTACATCAAACCAAGGAAACTTTAGGATTTCATTATCTAATGATAGAAATCATATTGATATAAAATTTTTCAAGATTGAAGTAAAAGAAGACGACATTACAGAACGCTGTACTATAAACTGCCTAACCTTTGTAAATATATTATCGGAATAGAAGAAAATAGATTCAGGACCACTAGCTGGGAATATCAAGGGTCTAGGCTGGTTTAATCCACCACACAGTGCTGTCTTCTCACCGTTTATCACTAAGTAGTCCTAAACACATCATTAGCCTCATCGCAAAATCAATGTTGAAATCCCATTCTCATATTTATACTGGATTTGGCATGTCAACAGGTCAACCTTTATCAGGTGGTAAATGAATACCTCGCAATTAAATCAAAAGGCATCAGGTTCAAGTGGTAAATTAATACCCGGCCGGTCAACCTACTTCAGGTCTATAAGGTGGTCAAATGTTATTCTAGAAGGTCAACAAGTTTCAGATGGTAAAATTACCAATACCAGGCAGGTTCTGGTTAACCCATAGCAAATCAAACATAAATTTCGTTTCAAGACTTTAATCTGCTTTCTCTTTTTTTGGCGATATATTTATGACAATAAATGGCAGGGTCCCTTAATTTGTAATTTTTCAATCCTTAATTTGTAATTTTTCAATCCTTAATTTGTAATTTTTCAATCCTTAATTTGTAATTCAATTTTTCAATCCTTAATTTGTAATTATTCAACACATGTTAGCAAAAAATCAAATCTTTACTCAACTGTCATGAAAAAGTCTTTTTGGTGTGATTTCCCTCCAAAGACTGTTTAAACAGTAATTAGGCAATCATTTAGTTTACTCAAGGCTTAAATTTGTTGCTAAATCATGTCTTATGTCTATTATAGAAAATTCACAAAATTTTGGGAACACTGCCATCATCGGTTCAAAACATATCGCAAAAAAACAGAATAAGATAAATAAAGCATTGAAACTTCATTTACATTTGATTTTAGACATGAAAATCCACTTGATTTCTACAACTTATTAAACTGGATTTTCTCAAAATTGAGATTATAAATCAGTATGCATGAGTGCACATTAGTATTTTCCAAAGAAAACTTTTAGGTGTTTTGACTTAAACTGAATGGTCAATTTTCAGCAGTGTGATCAAGAGGTAAAAATGCTGACCTGGCAGGTCAACCCGTATCCAAGTCTACCCGGACCAGCTTTAGTTTCACCAAGAGAGAACTTTCTCAGATTGTACTCCACAGCACAGGCCATTGGGTCACGTTTTATACAGGAGCTCCACCTTGTACAATCACGCTATAAATGTTGTATGCTCAAAATTAAATTTTTGAGATACACTGTTAAAGGTATGAGGCTCGAAAATTTTCTGAACACAAGGCACACCGTAATTTACCGCTGAACACAAGCTGGGTTTTGATACGTTTACACACACATATCTCCGTACTCGAGGAACACACAAAGGTTTTCAGGGTACCGTTGTTAATCGGTCATTGCCCTCTTTTCATGGAGGGTCAATTAAAACAGTCCCTTTAAAATAAAAGAATAGTAAGATAAATAATTTGAAATTTATTTTTATATCAGTAAATCTTAAATAAATGTTCATGGCCTGGATCCGGATCGGATCAATCTTTTTCCGATGCGGATCCGCATCAAAATTAAATTAATCCTTAACACTGCACTCAATTATATTCTCATATTTTGCATCAGACTAAGTTTAAAATATTTAGGGTAAGTCTGCCATGGCCCTCTTTCTATAAAGGTTTACTTAAAGAGTACGTGCAGACACCTTCGTTAAGCGTTGATCATATTTATTGCGTATGTATGGTTCTTCAGATAATGCATATTGCATACTGATGGAAAAAATTTAACAGCCTAATATAAATGGATGTACCTTAAGTTTTGTGGATACTGTCCATCTTTAATATTCAAACTGCTGATGTTTCCTGAGTTCATATTGTAGTACTGGCTGCAGCCCATTGGTGCCTACATAGCATGTTTTAATGTTAACATCTTTGATATAAATCCCAAGCCACCTGCAACAGGGCGCACTTTGCTCTATATCGACCAAAAATGTCGCCTATAGTGCGACTTCTAATTTTCTTAACACACTTGGGGGGGTAAAAAATGACCCAAAAAATTCTAGAAATTTAAAATCATCATAATTGAAAAAAAATATTGTTTCTATAGAAGTAAATCTTTAAAATCTTGCAAACTTTTTGTTTGATTTAGGCCATTTCAAAATTTGAGCAAATTTTGAGGGCATTTTTTGGGTCCCCCCATGTCGAGTGTTTGCAAATTTAAACTTTCTGATTAAAGAATAAGGAAACATTTTCATAAATATTTTCAATATTTCATCAATCATTTTATTATAAAATGGAATATTATTTGTTGAGTTTTTATGAAATGGCAGAATAAAGGAAACTGTATTAAGTTACATTTTGCCTAGTCCCATTTTGCCAAGTAACAATTTGCCTATAAGTAACAATTTGCCTATAAGTAAAAATTTGCCCAGTAACATATTGCCTAGTAACATATTGCCTAGTAACATTTGCCTTAGTATCAGTTTGCTAGGTAATATTTTGCCTAGATAACGGATTGCCTAGGTAACATTTTGCTCAGGGTGACATAAGTGCGAATTTTTTGCCTAATCAATATTTTTTTCACAAAGAAAATAATCAAAAATTCGCAAAATTGTCATCCAAAGACTTTTTGAAATGATTATATTCCAACCCTTGCTCCATGATGTAAACTGTATTTTTATATATTTCTCTGATAACCATGTTTTATTTTTTGAGTAAATACACGCGAATTTTTCCGTAGAGAATAAAATAAGAATAAGAATAAAACACTTCCTTTCATAGGTTTTCAGTCATGGTATTAGGAATGTTAAAAGTGCTGCAGTCAATATACAGTTCAATTGTCATATAACATTTAATTCAACTGGTGCAATTTTAAAGAAAATGTTAAATTTTAAGAAAATCTGCTCTTGCGTTACCTAGACAAAATGTTACCCCAGGCAAAATATTACTATGCAAACTTGAACTAAGCAAAAAGTTACAAAGGCAAAATGTTACCTAGGCAAAACTGAACTAGGCAAAATGTTACCTAGTCAAAACTGAACTAGGCAAAATGTGACTATAGTCAAAATGTAGCCGAGCCGTTGAAAATGTTATAATATAAAGTATTAACTAATCTTACATTAATGCAACAGTCTCAGATATAAAGATAAGAAATTTCAACAAAACCTAACTTCTACTTTAGCCAGCGGCCAGCGTGGATCACTGCAAGGGGGGGGGATCCGGTGAACATGAAGATAAAAAAATAATAACCTGTAAATTAGCTCCATCGCATAAAATCTGACTGATCCGAATATTCCACCTATATATAACATTATAACTATATAATAAAACAAAACATTCGTATATATATATTATATATGTTGCCTATATATATATTATATATGTTGCCTGTAGCCGACCGAATGGCTGGAGCAATTGGGCTGACATTTTTTGCGGACACTCATAGGTGGCCGGGGGGTGTTATAGGCTAAAAAATTCTAAATTTTTTCAAAAATTTGTTTTTTAAATACAATTTTGTTTTTTTCCATGGGCAACGCCGGGCAGCTGGTATCAGTTAAAAATGTTATGTTTCAATTCCTTTTAAGATCTCTAGTATAAAGTGACTATTGACTAGCTGGGGCAATTTTTTCATTGGACTAATTCAAAATCTAAAAAATAAATATCTTAGCGGTTGCCAAACGGCTGGAGCGTATTGGCTGAAATTTGTTGTGGGAATCCATGTATAACCTGGATGTAACAAAGCTATAAGGTTAAAAAAATTCCCAAGTTTTTTTTAAAAATTTAACTGGCAACGAAGGGCACTTCTATCAGCTAGTATGTATGATAATTCTATCTTATTTTAGAGCTTAATTAGATGTTAATTGACATTACCTTGAAGGAAAATCCGCGACTTTGAGATTCATTTTGACGCTTGGAGCCTGGATCTTGTTAGGAATTCTAAATATTTAGTTGTGCTTTACAATTTTACCATGGATGTATGTGTAAAATCTAAACTATTATGTTAGGATAAATTACAGCCTGAAAGAAGATGGCTGAACCAGTGTGATCCAGTAATTAACTATCTATGCAGGATGATTAAATAGACAAGAACATTTCACTTAATTCTGTCAATCTCAAAGTTAAAAAAAATATCAAAATTTAATTTTATTCTGGAATTTAAAATTTAAGATATATTGAAAACCATATCTTTATCTAGCATATTAAAGGAAAATAATATTGGCACATTTTAAATGTTAAAACTGTAAACATGTAATATTTTATTCCATTTTTCTTACCCCGGGCAACGCTGGGCACTTGAGCTAGTAAATGTTAAAAATGTTATGTTTCAATTCCTTTTAAGATCTCTTGTATAAAGTGACTAATTCAAAATCTAAAAATTAAAGCCGCTCTTTATTCGTTAGCTATAGATAGGTGGCCAAACGGCTGGACCGAATTGACTGAAATTTGTTGAGGGAATATATGGATAACTGAAATGTAACAAAGTTAGAAGGTTTAAATAAATCCAGGGTTTTCAAAATTTAACTAGCAGCGGAGGGCACTTCTATCAGCTGGTATGTATATGATAATTCAATCTTTAATTAGATGTTAATTAACATTACCTTGAAGGAAAATCTGTGACTTTGAGATTCATTTTGACGCTTGGAGCCTGGATCTTGTTCGGAATTCTAAATATAAAGTTGGGTTTAACAATTTTACCATGGATGTATGTGTAAAATCTAAACTATTATTTTAGGATAGATTACAGCCTGAAAGAAGATGGCTGAACCAGTGTGATCCAGTCAGGTACTATCTATGCAGGATGATTAAATAGACAAGAACATTTCACTTAATTCTGTCAATATCCAAGTTAAAAGAATATCAAGATGTAATTTTATTCTGGAATTTAAAAACTAAGATATATCAAAAACCAGATTTTTATCTAGCATTTTAAAGGAAAATAATATTGGCACATTTTAAATGTTAAAACTGTAAACATGTAATATTTTATTCCAAGTGTAGTATTCTCTTACTACTAAAATGTGCAATAAATTGGTAAACTTAAACTAGCAAACTTTGATAAGATTCTACTTCAAGTTATTCTACTTGTTTCTAAATCTATTATCTTTGCAACCTGTCAACATTGCAGATCGGGTTATTTCCATCACTCGGGCCTAACCCTCATGCGCTGTTGATATCTTTGCAACCTGGCATTCTTATACTTTGGCTATCTCTATCATACAGAGTAAACCTTATATAATTATCTGCACGTGCAATAATTAACACCCAAAGTAATAAATAGATTTCTCATAATGTTACTTCATTTATTTACTTAATCATAAATGTTTACATAACATTACATAAGATAAACTGTTGACATAATTGTTAGTCAGAATCCTTTACTTATAAGGTTTCTTATCTTGACGTTTAAGCACTCTCTCAGTTAGGTAACCGAGCCTATCGTGCATGACTGATATAGCCTTCAGTCCGTCTATCAACTTTATATCTTTATCATTACAGGTATGCTGGTCAACCCGCTCCTGCATAATCTGGAGCAGATCCCAAACCTGGTAAGACATCCTGTCCCTGACCTCTTTCATAGTTGGGTCAGGATACTGCCTGTACTCTTGCTTCCAAGCCTTCCCTGTGTCCCAAACCTCAACTTGGGGGACAACAGTATGCTGTCGGGAGCGAGTGACCTCAAGAGTAGAGGACAGGAGATCCATAATCTCCTTTCAGAGTTCCTTGACCTCTGTATCAAGCTTCTCCATCTTCTCCAGGATATCTTGCATATCCTCCTCCTCCTCATCATCCTCTGATACATCCTCAGCTACGTTCTTGTCCTCTGAGGCTGGGGCAGTGATAATAGGAGTGTCTCCACTGATGAGAGGAGCGATATCAGCAGGATCAACTTCCTCTTCATCCAGTTCTACTTCCTCACTGTAGGCGGGGTTCCGCACAATAACAGGAACCCGGTTCATCCTCTCCTGCTGTAGCTCATCCAGAAAGATTCCCTATGTATGCTGTCTGTTCGCTGTATATAGCACAAGTCCCAGAGCGGTAGTGTGCAGGAGACTTGTGTCTACTGCTACGGCTCGGGATGTACTGATCTCTGGCATCCAGTTATATTCAAGGGACTGTTCACTCTTATCAAGAACAATCCGGAATACAACACAAGCTTTTGTGGTAAAAAATGATCATGTTGCAGATGATCATGGGAGGTCAAGATCAGTAAAGACTTATCCCCTAATCCTATCTCAAGAAGTGATCAGTTCATTCAAATGATGTTTAAGATACAAAATAATTATAAAAAAAACTTTGTTTGGAGATCATATAAAGCATTAGATTCATTCATGTATTGCAGTTGTTTGATCATCAAGACTCACGAGTGATCAGTATAACCCGGAGTTCTTAACGACTCCACGAGGCTATGGTTGTCTCACAAAAATAAGCAGATGCGGAACAGGACTGATACAAGATATCCTTACCAGAGCTTCAGTTTGATGAACAACTTATCATACATCATAACTTCACCCACCAACTCTCATTCAGCTTTAACAAAGATCTCACGTTGATCTAACGGAATCTCTCGGTGATCACAGCACACAGCTAGTCTGGAAAACCTCCTAGGCGGAAAGAATCTGAGGACAACTGTACGTTTTGTTTCTGTACAACGTACTTCTGTCGCTCTTGAGGGATAGTATCAAGATCAATTCCAGAAGTATCCTAAATCTACGTGCATTCATCCTAAGGAATCAAGCAAGAATTGCAGTCCGCAGTGTTCACAGGACATGTAAAAGGAGAAATTATACTATCACACGGAGAACTTGAAACCTGCCAAAAGAAGACATTTGGATCGCGTGTGAGAAAACCAAACCGCCATCAAATCTTCAGAGATTGTGATGATCAAAAAATAAACTCTAAAACTATAGACTTGATTTCTGTGTATGGGGTGGCGTATAAATAATACATTGTTTAAAAATAGTTATTCACTTCTATTGTTCCGACGCTGAAAATTAAATTGAGAAGACGCTAAAAGCTAAAAAGTGCATAGTATTGAAGTGCCATGGATGTATGGAAAAAACACGTGAGTAGAATTCTTAAAATTTTGTATGAGGCCAGAACTAAAACACTAATCTATTGAATATGTCGTTTAACGAACTACAGTGGTAGGCGTTTATATCAATACAATGAAGACTAATGGAATTCTTGAACTCGATGAAACAATCTTGATGCATTCTTTAACTCAGGCTTTTCTATTAAAGATTTGATTTTTTCAAAATACATGTTAACAAGTAAACAAAGAAAAGCTGAAAATTAACAGCTTCTCTTAATGTTCATGTTTATGTGTATCCATGATGTTTGAAAGCTTGATAAAAATAAACAAAATGAAACGAAAGTCGTCTTCATTGCATAATAAAATCAGTCAAGAAGTGGGAATAGAGCCAATAATAATTTATGTCAGCTGAATACATCAATCATTAAAAATCTACCTTCACTAACAAATTCAGAATTAAATATCAAAAGCCTTAAATCTAAGTTTACATTGATTTGAGTATTAACACTGTATTGAGTATATTGAGTCCTAATTTACCATAAAAAACTTACTTGTTACTTGGTTGCCCTTGTGTGAAAATTTAAATATTTCTTATTCAAATGGAGTACTTCGTCTGTAAAGCATGTATAATCATATGGTAGGGCGAACCGCGTCAGTTATATCTCCCTTCTATTACTTACTCCCTGATTCAAGTCTTCTAGGACATTTATTAGAGAGAGAATCCCAGATTTGAAAATTTCGCTTTTATGCCATTTTCCGTACGAAGAGTTTCAGACCAGTTACTAGTGTTTACGACCACAAAATATTTCAAACCATAAAATTCTGACCAATTACTAGTGTTCACGACCACACAATATTTCCAACCGTAAAATTAAATGTTTCTGAGCAATTACTAGTGTTCACGACCACACAATATTTCCAACCGTAAAATTAAATGTTTCTGAGCAATTACT